CCGACGCTGCGTCGCCAGCTGGCCCTAGCCTACGCAGGCCTGGCCTGGCCGCCGCACCGGCGCGCGCTCGCCCTTCTCCGAGCTGAGCGGGCGGTGCCGATAAGGCCAGATAGGCCGTAGCCAGCCTCGACGATGCAAGAGCTACAGAGAGGCTCGCGCCCGCGATAAGCTCGATGGCGTCCAGCATGCACCAATCTTGAGTCCACCCGCTCTTTCGGCTCATCCGCCCCATCAGCTCGCCGCCCTCACCCCGCCCCCGGCCCGTCGGGGGCGAGTCAAGGCGGCCTTTACTCGCCCCACCGTCTCGGCCTGCCTTCCCGACCTGCTCGCCATCGGAGCCGGCCGCCCCCACCGGACCTGCCTCCTCCCGCCTGCCCGAGCGCAGCCACCGGGCACTGCCGTCACGGGACAAGCCACACGCACGCAGTCGCCGCGCGCACAGGCGACCATACGTCGTGTTCAAGGGCGAGTTTCATCGTCAATCGCGGCAGACGAGACGTTACTCCTACTACTAGACTAGCGAGGCGTGCAAACGAGACAACATACACACACCGCGCGGGGGGCCAGCCAGCGCAAGCAGGCGGGCTGGCGGGCTGGCGGGCAGGCGGGAGAAAGGGGGCAGAGCAGTCGCAGCTTAGCGCACCACGGCACAGCACACGAGCGGCTCGGACAGCAGCTCGAGGATGACCAGGTCTAATGTCGCGGCGCACCGCTACGGCACTTCACCGAGCCTGCAGGGCGCCCTGCCCTCGCCCTTGGCCGGCGCGCACCACGCCTTTCCTTAGGCTTGCGTCCGACAAGACCACCTTGGAGCCGACTCGGGTCGAGCCCTCGCGCAGCTTCTCAAGGCCAGGCGAACCACTTCTAAGCCCGGCGCTTGAGGTTGGTGCTCAGCTGCGGCGCGGGACGGGAAAAGAGGGGAAACGAGTTGCAACAGGCGGTCAGCCCAAGTTCGTTGCCGCCACGCGTGGCTCAAACAGAGGCAGGCCCACAGCCGCGACTTACCCATTCGAGACCCTCGTAGAGACCGTCTCCGCTCGTGGCGCAGGTGGCCTGGATGAACCTGTTGGTGGTCGGGGTTCGGGGTTGGGGGTTGGGGGGAAATTGAGCCAGACTCGTCAGCGCTCGCAGCACCGCGCCAGGTCGAGCGACGACGGCGACGTCAACCCACCATTGTCGTTGCCTGAGGCTGTGCAGGCCGAGCTTGTCGGTGATCTCGGCGGCGTTCATGGCGTTTGGCAGATCCTGCTTGTTGGCGAACACGAGCAGCAGCGCGTCGCGCAGCTCGTCCTCGTTGAGCATGCGCTGCAGCTCCTCCCGCGCCTCGGAAACACGCTCCCGGTCGTTGGAGTCAACGACGAAGATGATGCCGTGCGTGTTTTGGAAGTCTGCAGGCGAGGCGGGGCGAGGCGATAGAACAAAACGGCCGAGTAAGCGTCTACGGCCCTGAAAGGGCACGCGGCCGGCTTCAGCACGAATCCGGAACGACTCACAGTGCCTCCAGAGGGGGCGGATCTTGTCCTGTCCTCCGACGTCCCAGACGGTGAACGAGATGTTCTTGTACTCGACCGTCTCGACGTTGAAGCCTGCGGCGTGCGGGGTAAGCGGATCGTTTCGGGCGGGGGAGCGAGGTCAGTCAAGTGTCCTTCCGAGCGAGGGTCGGCTACAAGTCGTCCACCCATGGAACACGTTGAGGCGGGCGGACGATGCACGGATCGGTCTACCGCCGTCAAGACGGCCCAAGGCGTCCAGCTCTGCAACACATGGACATGGCAACGATCACGACCTGTCGTCCTGACCCTCTGCTGTCTTCAGTTGCAGCCCAGCCATCGACTCTTCCCATTTCCGCGGCAGCCGAGTTCGTGCTTGACCTCGAGAACGACGACCCTGGGAAACTCACCGATGGTAGGGATGGTGGTGACGATCTCACCGAGCTTCAGCTTGTAGAGGATAGTGGTCTTACCGGCGGCGTCGAGACCGACCATGAGGATACCTGTGCAAAGGCCGAGCGAATGGAAATATTGGTCGCGAAGAGGGGGTGTCAGTCGGAATGCCTCCGATGCGATGGAGCGCAAGGAGCGCAGTAGCCAGCCGAGCAAGCTTTTGGATGGCGAACAGCTGGGCGAGACGATGCTGCCGGATTCGACGGGTCACATCGGCGACGAGGGCGCCACCGAGCAACGACGCGCGCAGACTCGGTGTCTGTGCATGCTGGACGACGTAACGATGTCCGAGACCGATGGCGACGGCAAGGGCAGCGACCGCGCCCTAGAGTGTCATCCCGATCGAAGCCGGGGCGTGGCCGATGGAATCGTCGCAGCGGAGACGTCGACAACAGTCCTAGCTGTACCGGCGAAGCCGGTTTGTGTTGCAACATCCGGCACCCGCGCCCCGTCTGTCGATGTCGAAGTCGACATCGCCGTATCGTCGGTCGCCCGATGTCGGTGGCCGAAGAGGACACTTACGCATCTCCTTCTTGCCAAAGAGGCCGGAAAGCAGCTTGGAAATGGACATGCCCATCTTGGCTCTTTTTTCTTCCTTTGTCGGAGGGGTGGCGGTGTGGTGTGTGGGTGTGGGTCGAGGGTCGTGAGAGGTATAGGCAGGGCGTCTGTCGCAGTGTATCGAGGCGAGTCCCTTGCGAAGCAGTCGTAGGTCGTTGCGGGAGCAGAGAGCGGGCGAGGGAGGCGGACAGGGGATCAGTGGTGATGTTGGTGGTGGTGGTGGTGAGGAGGGCTTGCTAGCCAGGGCGAGCGTGAGCGGCGGCGACGGCGGGAACGGCGAGCGGGCGGGCGGGCGTTGGGTCGGTCAGCGAGTTCCGCACACGGGCAGGCCGACCAGGCAGGCAGGCTGGGCTGCTTGGTTGGCTGGCTGGCAGCCCCGAGCGTGGCAGGTTGCCCCTTTCCCTCCTCCCCTCGCTCGCCTCTTCCTCCTGCCTGCTGCCTGCCACCAGATGAGAAAGAGAGGCGGGGGCCAGCAGAGAGGAGGCGTGTGCGTGCGTGCGTGCGTGCGTGTGCGTGGGCTGGCCTTCCAAGTTTCGCCCTGCCAGCCTAGCCTGGCCTGGCCTCGGGGCAGCCGAGCGGGCGGGCAGTGGTTCGGTCAGTCGGGCGGCGCAGCCAGAGAGGCAGGCAGGCAGGCAGGCTGGGTTTTCAGAGCCAGGCAGGCCCAGGCAGGCACGACCGCTGCTGGCATCGATCGTCTTCGAATTCAGATCAAGGCCAGTCAGGGCCCAGCTGGGCTGCTGGCCTGCTTCTGGCCTTTGAATTGCGGCTGCCACCAGGATTGAATTCGAGCTGGTTTCAATCCAGGCTCAAACGGACTCGCCGCGTGGGGCCAGAGGCTAGGGCCCCTCGATGTGCTGGCGGGCGGCAGACGACCGTCGCCCGTCCTCTTCGGATCCGCACAGACCCACGTCGCAGCACCGGGCCCAGTCGCCATCCTCTGGCACCTCGCTCCGCCTGCTGGCTCCTTCGCCTTTGCCACCTCGTCCCCGCCTTTGCCTCAGCCTTCACAGCGCATTGCGTCGGACCTTGGCCTCCGCAAACGGCTTCGCCAGACTCGCCAGCCCCCGCCTCTTCCCATCGCCATGATGAGAGGCGGCAAGCGGGGGAAAGGAGCCGACGGTGTCCTGCTCGCGGCCGCCTCCAACGGCATCGGGCTGACTTCCATCGCAGGCTTGATCGGGGAGCCTCGCGATGTCGCTCCTCTCACCGGGCGACCAAATGCTGCTTGCTTCAGTCAAGGGGGAAGGAATGCTCGCTGACGGCCAGAGGCTTCGCTCGCCGACGGCGAGATGCCTGCGACAGCCGTCGCCGCCGTCGATGGTCGGTCGCCCCTCCATCTTGAGCGAGCGCTGGACGGGCCATGTCAGATTTTCGTCGCCAATTTTCGCCTTGATTTCATGCCAACAGGCTGGCCAGCAGTTGCCACGGCGTCAGCGGGCAGCTGCTCCCCTCCTTGAAGCAAAGAAGGGCGAGGCACTGATCCCTCGCCCAATCTCGTCGCCGCCCTCGTCTGTGTCTCTTCGGGGCCGCTGCGGAAGCCGTCGTAATCAGCCGCCAGGCAAGGGGTGCGACTCCTGCTTCTTTCGAGATCCAGCGAGGCGTCAAAGGGGGCGGCTGACGGCGTATACCAGGGGCTTCGTCGGGAGGGTCGTCGAGCATCTACGCACCGCTCGAGGATCCCGACCACCCCAGGACGGGGACGTGGACGAGGTCGAGGACGAGGAGGAGGTCGTTGCGCGGCAAGCCCGCCAGCAAAAGGCCGGGCGCTGCTCGCGCGCCAGCAATGCATCCGAGATTAACGCCACGCTGCGACGGTCATTGCTCCTGATGTCAGCCCGCCTGCTGCCCCACTCGACAAACAAGCCGGTCCGAGCCAGAGAGCCCGCCCAGGCCGAGACAGCGTTAGCGACGGCGGCGCGCGTCGTGCGGGACGCCAAGCAGCAGCTGCGTCTTGCCGGGTGCCGGTCCAGGACAGGCAGCTTCGACGCCGGCCCTGTTCCTCTCAATCAGGCTCCGACATCGCGGTCGTCCACTGAGGCGAAGCGAGCGCCATCAAGCCTGCCCGCCAACCGGCCGTTTTTTATCGCCATCTCTCGACGACCGGAAAGCCAACACTGGGTCGAGGCCGGCCGTAGCTCTACCGAACATCGTGGTGGAAGGCCTCCTATCCCGGTCAAGCCAGCCTTCCTTACCCGACCGCGCTCGAGATTCCGAACGGCGAGCTTGTAGCCGCGTGTGGCAGCAAGCACACGGCAAAGGAGGCCAAGGCACGACGGGAGGCGCTTTGAGAGGGCGGGCGTGGCAGGCAGACAGCAGGGCGGGGCCGGGCAGGCCAGGCGTGGCTCGCGCGCCAACGATCTGCGCCGACACGGCTTTCGCCTGGCTCGCGTCGGAACCAAGAATGCGCTATTTGACTCGCGCCTGCCTGCCTGCCTGCCTCGCCCTGCCTGTCTTGGCCCTGCCCTGCTCGCCTGCTGCCCTGCCTGCCTCTTCCCTTCACCCCCGCTGCGCTGCCTCTGTCGGGATCATCAACGGTCGCTGGAACGTCAACAAGGCAGCTACCGGTGAGCGAGCGAGCAAGCAAGCAAGCAAGCAAGCAAGCAGAGCCTGCGCCGCAATGCACCGCGCACGACGGCTCAGACGGGCAAGCGAGCGAGCCGCCACGACCACGCAGCAGCGAAAAGGCCCCTCCTGCCTGCCTCGATCTCAAGCCGGTTAGGCAAGCCATCCGGCGCAGGCGACATGGACGAATAGCAACGTCCGCTGCTGTCGCTATGTGCTCGCTCGACTGGGCCCGCCGCCTCGAGTCTCGAGGCGCACGCCTGCGCCGCCTCAAACTATCCCGCGGCAGCCAGCCAGCATTGCTGGCATCGAACTTCGCTGGCGCGCCAGAGCAGCCTACCCGTCGTTCACCGGCGTCGTACAAGCTTTGCGCAGATTGGGCAAGCGCAGCCGCTCGTCGCTCGTCTCCTTCCTCAATGGGCCGAAGAGAGCTATGCCGGCATGGGCCTTGACCGGGCATGGCAGCCGCTGCCTTGCCCTCTCGTCGCTCGTCGACCTGTGTCTTCCAATCGTCGACTGGGCCGCCGCCGCCCTGGTTGGGCAGCGCGAGCAGTACGATCTGCCAAGCAAGGACCGGGCTGGGTCAGGGCGGGTCGAGTCGGCTGCGGGGTCGATGGTTTCACCTTCCCTCTCGAGCATGCCGGCTGACCGTCACGGCAGGAAGCACTGGAGCTTCACTCGCTCGCTCGTCTGCTCGGCCGCTCACATCGCACAGCTCTGCCTCGGTGCCACTCTCTGCGTCCGCTCGAGCAGCGAGGGTGCCACAACACGCCCTCGCAACCTGACGAGCGAGCGGGCCAGCGACAGGGAGCGTTGGGCACGCCAGCGTCGCCGCCGCAGCCCCTATAATATCAACTGCGCAGCCTGGTCACGGCCAGGTCTCATGCCCTCTTCTTCCCCATATCACTCTCCCCTCCCGCCCCTCGCCTCGCCTGCTCCTGTCTCCCGGTCCCCCTTTCCCCCTCACCCAGCTCTCCCTATTACTTCCAGTCCAGACACCTTCTTTCTCGTCGACGTCGCTTGCATCACGGCCGCCCGCCACCACTCTCCTTCAATCGCGCTCCTTGCCTCTTCACGTTCTTTCAATCCATCGACGTCTGCCCCACCACCACTGTCCTTTCCAAAACCACAATCTCTCTCTCTCTCTCTCTCTCTCCCTCGCTCAATCTCTGCCACTCTCGAACCCACCACAGCATCCGCGCCATCCGCCGCCTTTCAGCAGAACCACATCCATCGTCTCTCGACCCTCGACCCTCGACTCTCGACGCGCCACAACTTCTCGCCCCACCCCGCCCACTTCCAGCCTCCTTCGAAACCTCGACACGATCCGCCGACACGATGCAGTCGTCCGCCTCGTTCTCGGCCTCTCGCCAGGGCCGACCAAGGCCCGCCAACCTCTTCCCAGGGAGCCGATCGGCCTCGGACGAGCGCCCGTGGCCCTCGCCCTCGTTCAATAGCTCCATGTCGCTGGCCAAGGTCGACGACGTCTTTGCCGACGGAACCCGCAGCACCAGCAGCGGCAGCAACGCGGCCGCCATGAAGCGCCAGCTGTCCGGCCTGCCTCCGACTCCCATTACCGCCGGCATGATGGCCTCGCCCGGTCTTCACGGCCCCAAGCTGCCTGGCCTCACCGACCTCTTCGTCAACGACGAGGGCATCCTCGGTCCGATGACGCCCCTCTCGACCCCGCACGACCACATGGCCGTGGACCGGTCCCCTCCTGCCCCTTACCACCAGGCCCACCACCCCCACCCCCACCCCCACCACCACCTCAACCAGCAGCAGCCCTCGGTGTTCCAGCAGCCGAGCTCGTCCAGCGCCATCGCTTTCGGTGGCGTGCCCATGAGCAGTCCCAGCCGCACCGCCCCGCTGCCGATGACGGCTGCCGCCAGCCACTCGCTTCCGCGGGACGGCGACGTGATTGGCCTCGGCCTGGACCTCGAGACGACGCCCAAGGCGTCTAGCAAGGGGCACGGCGGCTACGCGGCCTCTGCACAGATGCAGCGGTCCGCCACGTGCCCGTCGCCGCCGCTGCAGTGCCCCAGCGCGCCCCGCATCGGTGTGCTCAAGGAGGGCCTCTTTCCCCGCAACTCGAACCTCTCGCCGCCGTCGTGGCAGGCTGCGCGCGACTTTGACTCGCGTCCCTTTAATGCCAGCGTGCACGGCGAGCGCCGACGGTCGGCAGAGCTGCGGTCCGTTTCGATGGAGCGCGAGGCCGTCGTCGAGCTCAGCCCGCGCAGCATGCCCGCGTCGGAGGGCGTCCAGGGGCTGGGCATCTCGCTCGACGGCTCCTCGCCGGCATCGAGCTCGACGGCCACGTTCCGTGCGCCCCAGCCGATGGCGGTCGTGTCGGCGTCGGACGAGGCCATGTCGCCGCCTCTGTCGCGTGTCGCCAGGCAGTCGCCCTCGTCTCGCGCTCACACGGGCCTGACGCCCCTCGTGCGGTCTGCGAAGCTCAACAGCTCCGACCGCGCCGACGACGGTGCGAGCAGCAGCAGCAGCAGCAGCAGCAGCATTGGTCACCAGCTCGGCGAGTGCCGCACGGATTTCGGCGGTGCCGATACTCCGACAAAGGCGTCGTCGTCTTCAAAGGGCCGGGCCAGCCTCGAGGCGCGTGGCCAAGGCTTTGGGGCCGTCTTGCCCGTGGCGCAGCTCAAGGCGTCGCGGGGGGCGAGCACTTCCAAGACGACGCTCGAGACGCCGATCAAGTCGAAGCCCATCTTCCGGCTGGACAATGGGTCGTCCGGGTCCAAGGCCAAGAAGAAGGTGCAGGGGCACAAGATGCTGGGCCACGAGTCGCCGTGGGGCGTGTTTGGCGTCAAGGACGAGTGGCGTCCGCTGGCTGCGCCCAACATTTCTCGCTCGGGCGGCGGCGTTGGTGGCGTCGCTGGCAGCGGGGGCAAGAAACTCGACGAGGTGGCCTGCTCCCCGCGGACGGCGCTGGGGGTGCGCAGCGCGGCGCTGGTGGGCAAAGAGAATGTGGCGCCCGACGCTCTGCAGCAGCAGCAGCAGCAGCAGGCGCAGCAGCCGCCGACGCCGGGCAAGCGCAGCGCTGCGTCGCGGCACTCGGCCGACCTGTGCAGCGTCTCGTCGCCGCCCAAGAAGCAGCGGTCGGGCGAGCGGCCCAAGACGGGGTCGGGCACGCCGCTCAAGGAGAACAACGGCGGGCGCGGTGCGGGCGGCGCCGCCTCGCCGCAGAAGCGGACGCGGGCGGCGTCGAGCGTGGGCTACCCGAACCAGGCCCAGGCACGGCAGTTTGTGGGCCTGCGCTGAGCCGCCCGTCGTCGTCGTCGTCGTCGTCGGCGACGTTGCGATCAGTCCTTGTTTCTCCTCTCGACTGCTGCTTCGTCGAGCCTAGCAGATCAACCTCTAAACCTGTCTGAGCAGGCTTGCTGTATCACTACCACCCCTGCTGGTCCTCGATCGAAGAGGACACCTAGAAGCTACTTTTCCCCATGCCCCCCCCGATTCCAGTCAGTTGCGAGGGTTTCTGTGCGGTGCGAGAAGGACAGACGATGAAGCCACTCTTGCATCTCGGCAACGCGCTGTCGGTTGCGGCGATGCGGTCGGTTCGTGGCCATGGCCGGGCGGTAGTGGTGCAGCGGCGGGCAGCTGATGGCGGCGAGGGCCTGGCCCTGCTGGGGCCGGAGCCGCCCAACGCTAACCCCCCGTCTGCCTGGCCTGACCCCGCCCCGCCTCGCCCTGCCAAAGACATGTGGAGGTTTTCGGAACATGGAAGCTCGAGGCCAGGCTGCACGCGACCGTCGGCGCACGGTTAACGCGTCGCGTCCCTCTGCTTTGGCCAGGCCTGGCCTGGCTGCCCGGCGGTGTGATGAGAGCGGGAAGAAAGCAAGGCGGCAAGCACCCATTCTCATGCAATTCATCCCGAGCCTCGTCGTTCGTCGTGGGGCATCGAGCAAAGCCACGTACGCTCCCCGCTCGTCACGCACCGCTGGGTCCATGCGAGGTGATCATCCGTCCGGTCCAGCGGGCGTAGAGAGGCGAGATTCAGGCCGGTGTCAGCTAGGCTACTGCTGTAGGCCTGGCCAGGCCTGGCTGGCAGAGGCTGCGTGATGATGGCCTGCTGGGGGGGGGGGGGTGGCTTGCAAAAGGCTAGGGCCAGAGAGGCAACGAACGTAACGATGCACGCCTGCCTGCCTGCCTGCCTGGCCTGCCATGCTCAAAGAGGCACGCACGCACGCACGCACGCCTCGCCTCGCCTGCGTGACGGCGGGTGATGCTGCGAAGCCTACCCTAGCCTGGCCTGGCTTGTTTTGTGATGGACGCGAAGGACCCTTTTCGCTCCAAAGTCACATCGTATCGTATCGTCGTCTCGCCCGCCCGCTCCCCTCGCCTCGCCTCGCTCCGCCCCTTGGCGCGCTCGATCCAGACTCTGCCTCGACGACGGCGGACAGGCAAGGAGAGCAGGCTAGGCAGGCTGCTGCAACGAGGCTCGGGCAGCCAATCTGGTCGGGCGAGCTGGTTTGGTCGGTCGAGAGAGAGAGCAGAGCGCCTTGAAGCATGCGAGTCCAAGCAGTGCGGGTAGCCCAGCCCAGCCCCAACCCGCCCGCCCGTCGGCCCGCTAGCCAGAAGGTGCGGGTTTTTCCAGGCGCCGAGGCCGTCGAAAAATTGGCACGCTGTCACGCCAGGCCAGGCAAAGGGGGCGGAAGGGCTGCCCCGCCTGCCTGCCAGGAGGGCGCAAAGAGGCGGGCGGGCGGCCGCTTGGCTTGCACGCCTCTGCCTGCCGGACGGCCCTGCTCGCGATTCCTCACGCTCCTCCTCCTCCTCCTCCTCCTCCCATCATCCCGACTCCTCGCCGCCGCCCTCTGATCCGGCAACACCGCCATCTCAGACTCTTCGCGCAAAACAGCCTATCCGGCCCTCGACCTCGACCTCGACCTCGACCTCTGCATTGCTCTCTCCCCCGTCTGGTCTGTGCCCTCGCCATCGCATCTGTAGCCACCTCTCTCGACCTCGCCAGCCCTCCGACCACAACACTGCATTCACCCTCACCGCCCTCAACTGCCCGCAACCAATCGGCACTCGTCCCATCAGCCCGGCATCGTGGCGCTCATCCACGACTTCCAACTCGCTGCATCTCGACCACGCCCGTGGACGACAAAGCCACGCATATACGGCCGACCCCGCCTACTCCTGACCTGGCGCCCCTACTCCCTCTTCCTCCCTCTCCCCCCTCGCACCACGAGCCGCGCCCTCGTTGGCCAGCGTAGGGATATCTGCGGCATCGACGAGGCACTGACCGCCAGCCAGCCAGCCGGCCTGCTGACACGGCGCATGCCGTCGCGGTGGTGAAGCGGTCCCTCTTACGGCCAGCCGTTCAGACAGCGTGACCCTTGCCGTCCTTAAGCGCAATCTTGACCGGTCGCCAGTTTTTCTTTCTCGACCTCGACAGGCCGGCGCCTCCGCTCGTTGTCTCTCCTCTGCTCGCCGCCTCGACCTCGGATCGTACTGTTCAGAGCTCCGAGCGGACCGCACTCCACCCTACCCTACCCTCCTCGACCCCATACCCCTTCCGCAGATCCTGCATGCTCTTCCATTTCTGAGCCACTCGTCGCCAGGTCAGGCGCCAACGGCCAGAGAGCACGCCGGTCGAGAGCGCGCATTCATTCGGCCCCCCTGCCTCCCAGCAGCGTCCCCTCATCGCGAGATTCACCAGGCGTCCACTGCGCGCCCAGCATGCCTCCCAACCCCACGGCAGAGGCGGTGCGGCAGCCCCTGACCACGCGCAACATCGTCAGGCCCACCCGTGTCGGCGGCGATGGCCTCGGCGGCGCCGTGGCAGGTGCCACGGGCGCTGGCGCCCCCGGCGACGACCACGACCACTCGCTCGCCAAGTCGCCGCAAAAGAGGGCGCAGGTGCCCGTCTACACTCGACCCTCGCTCATCCCCAGGCCCAAGGCCGCTCAGGACGCCTCGGTGGCCCCGCCGGCGACGGCGGCCACGGCGCGTGCCATGGCCGGCAGGATGCACAGGGCAGCCCTGCCCCGCCTCGCCAGGCTGCCCGAGGCCGATTTCGCCGCTGCTGCTGCTGCCGCCGCCGCTCCGGCCCACGGCGAGCCCAGCCCGCGCGACCACATCACAACGCCAAAGAAGCGCGCCGTTCCAGTCGAGGATGTCCACGTCCGCAACGCTCCCGGAGGCGGCAGCCCCAGCAAGCGCAGCCGCTCCTCCAAGAGCGGCACCGGGAGCAGCACCCACGAGCCCAGCACCGGCACCACCACCAGCCTGGCCCAGGACCTGAGCGGCGTCAAGGTGGCCGAGGCGACCACGACGACTGCCCCAGGTGGCGTCCCGGCGCTCGTCTCGACCGCCACCACCGCCGCCGCCAGCTCCAGCCATGTAAGCAAACATGCCTCGGTGACGACGCCCGGTGCCGCCCATGCTGCTGCGCCTGCGCCTGCGCCTGCCCCTGCCGCCATCGTCCGCCCCATCCGCCCCATGCACTCTGTCGCAGCGTCCAACACCAAGGCCACCACGACCCGCATCGACCGCCAGTCGAGGGTGACGGACCAGGAGCGCGCCGCCCGCGACCGCCAGGCGTTTGAGGAACGCAAGATCTGGAGGCACAAGTTCAAAAAGGCCTTTCCCAGCTTCGTCTTCTACTTCGACGCCTTTGACGAGGCCACGGTCAAGGACCTCACCGGCGTCATCCAGTCGCTCGGCGGTGTGAGTATCGCCACGGCCGCCGTGTGCGCCCTTCGCTGTGCGCATATACCCGTGTGCCCGACCGCCTCGCGCTGACACCCAATCTCGCTCACCGACGCCGGCTGCCTCATCGTGCGCTGCTCGTGATGCTCCGCCTCTGCCGCAGTCTGTCGACCAGTTCTTCTCGCGCAATGTCACGCACCTCATCACCACCCGACTCGTCCCCTCGGCCACGGCCAAGACGGAGCGCCACGAGGACGGCAAGGAAAACAGCCCGACCAAGGAAGGCGCGACGCGGGATGGCGCCCGTCACAAGCTGCTCCGGCCGACAGTGTCCAAGTCGAGGCTCTCGCCGACCAAAGGCTCCGCCGCTGCCGCCGCTGCCGCCGCCGCCGTCGCCGGCGGCGAGCGCCCGCCGCGCAACAGCCAGCCGCTCTACTCGGAGCGCAACCCCTTTGACGACGCCGGGCCCCCCGCCTCGGGATCCAACGACATCCTGCTCAAGGCGCAGAGCTTCGGCATGAAGGTGTGGCGCCACGACAAGCTCACGACGATCCTGCGGATGCTCGTCGACGAGCCGGTCGTGTCGGCGGCGACGGCAGCGGCGGCGGCGGCCGCCCACGGCGCTGCGGCGGCCGGCAAGCAGCATGACCTCTCGCAGATGCTGGAGCGCGAGAAGCTCTACGGCACCCACGAGCGCGATCCCAACGCTAGCCGCAACGACCACCATTACTTCCGAAAGGGCAACTTCTACCTGCTAGTGGAGGACGCCACAATGGAGCACCGTCCCATCATGTGCTCCGAGTTCGAGTACGGCCGGCAGCAGCAGCAGGAGGGCCTCGAGCCGCCCTGGCCCGTCCTCTACGGCGAGCTCGAGGGCCGCTGCCCCTTTACCCGTTACGACCTCACCGAGCAGCAGCGCAACCGCATCGGCCGCGGCCGCAACGTGCACACGACGCTGCGCCGCGCCGTGTCGCTGAGCAACATGGCGCGCAGGCACACGGGTCCGCCGTCGCCGCGACCGCCGAACGAAGGATTCCTCGAGACGCCCCGCGGAGGTGGCTACGGTGGCGCCAACGACCACCACCACCACCACCACCACCCACAGCCGTACCAGCTCGCTTCGGGCAACAGCGTTTCGATCACGTCCAACATCGCCTCGACCACGTCGACCGCCTTGACGGACCAGGTCGGCACCATTGCCGGTCTGCCGCAGGACCGCCGCGTCGCCGAGCTCAACCGCCGCATGCATACGCCGCTCGCCCACAGCCCTACGACTCGGCTGCCGGCCAGCCCAGCGAGCTTTATCGCCGGCGCCGACAACAGCGGTGGCAGCGGCCTGGGCATCACGGCCGCCGACGTCGGCAGTGGCTCCGGGTCGAGCATGGCCACGCCGGGCGGCTACGGAGGCAGGGGCGGCGCAGGCGACGCTGCCAACCCGCACCACAATACGCCGGCCGCGGCCGCCCACTCTCGCGGTGCCGTCGTGAGGCGGATGCTGGGCATGACGGAGCACGACGCCAAGCGCCCCTCGGTGCTTGCGCAGCAGCACGTGCAGCAGCAGCAGCAGCAGGCGGGGATCCGCCGCTCGGTCAGCACCAGCGCCGTCGTCCCGGTCCGGCCGCAGGAGAAGCGGCCCGGCTACTGCGAAAACTGCCGGATCAAGTACGACAACTTTGATGACCACGTCATCAGCCGCAAGCACCGCAAGTTTGCCGTCGACGACTCCAACTTTGTCGACATCGACCAGCTCATCCTGCGCGTCCAGCGGCCCCTCGGCGCCGGCTACATGGGCTACTCGGGCGACGAGGGCGAGGGCGAGTGCGAAGCCGGACACGTCGGCGGCGACGAGGCAGCCTGGCAGCACTACGGCGGCTCGGCCCACGGCTACGGCGACGCCGATGCCGATGGCGAGGGTGAGGTCGACATGGACCGCACGCTCGTCGATGCCGCCGAGTACGACGACGATGCCGCCGAGGGCGGAGGCTTCTACGAGGAGCACGAGGTCCAGTACGGCGACGGGGATGGCGACGGCGACGAAGAGGCCGAGTACGAAGAGGAGGAGGAGGTCGAGGGCGACGATGAAGACGAGGATGACGAGCACGCCGAGTACGATGACGACGAGGATGACGACGACGACGACGACGACGACGATGAGCGAGGCGAGGGCGCGGGCGACGTCAGGCAGATCTACGACGAGGATGCCGAATGGCACCGCCAGGCGAGCATCCACTACGCCACGTCGGGCCACGTGTCGCACGCCGCGTCGAACCCGGCCGTGGCCGCGCCCGAGTACCTGCAGGTGCAGATGCCGGTGCCCCGCACGCCGCTGCCCGCCCTATCTCGTCGCGCCGCCGATGCGGCCTACAATCCGCAGGCGGCCGACGTCAACGAGATCAGCAGCCCGTACGTCTGAGCGGGCGCTCCGAGGTTTCCTCGCCGACCTCGGCCGTCTCTCCAAAGCGCGGGCAGCAACCAGCAGCAGCCGGCACCAGCCATGGCAGTTGGGCGCCTCGACCTCGTCTCGATCCTCAGTTGGCGTCGTCGTCTCTGCCGGCGTCGCTGCTATCAGCCTCGAGCGCCTCGCCCGCCTGCCACCGCTTTGGCAACCTGTGTGGCCTAGGTCTTGGCCTTGACCACCGCTCCTGCCTCGCGTTCCCCACCGCTCCACCGCCCCCGCCGACCCCTGTCGACTCAGCATCCGCGATACCACCGCTCTCCGTCGCCTTGGTCGCCTTGTCCCCACTCCTAATCTGCCACTCGACCGACTCCTCCTTGGGTCCGGCTGTGCCCCACGAGCGGCGTCGAGGAGCCCGACCACACCAAGACATTCCCGGCAAAGCGACCGACTGATTGACCCGCAAGCAAGCACCTGAACCCCATTCAATGACCTGACCTGACCCGACCCTCCCAGCATACCGTCCGACAAGCAACCACAACGATAAGCACAAGCACAAGCACAAGCTCACAACCACAAGCTCACACACACCTGCGCGCGCACACACACACACACACACACACACTCTCTCTCTCTC